GCGGCCGCCCCACCCCCGCCCCGAGGCCCGCACGGCTGTGGGGCGCCTCCAGCTCTCCACTTCTTGGGTTTGCTCTGAACCGTGGCGAGGAATCCGTCTTCGCTGTGGGCGACCTTCTGCCTGCCCCTCGCTGAGATGGGAAGGAGAAATGGGAGAGGGACCCAGGACTTTAGGGACATGGATCCCAGGTGTCGGGTGTCCGGCTTGATAGGTAGCTGAGCTTCGTCACTGTGGCGGTGGTAGCTGCGGTAAGGCTATTCACTTTGTTTTTAATCCGCAAATGGTGTACAGGGAGGTTACAACCTGACCTGTCCTTGTATGCATAGCGCGCTGCGTGATCAGAGCCAGCCCCGCCGTCAGTAGGTTGACTTGCGAGTGGACCATTAGGAGCAACTTAAGCCTGAAAGGTAAATCAGGGAGGGACCTCTTCACGCCAAAGCGGCGCCCTGGCGGAGCTGGAGCTCCAGCCGTCCTGCCTCCTCCGGGGAAGGAAGGGGCGTGGTAGTGCTCGCTTCCCAAGTAATGCACGTGTAATCCTCTTGATCGGGATTTTCAGAGCCTGGAATCTCTGGGAGCGGTTCACCTCTTGTCTCCAAGTCTTTCTCGTACTTTTGTGCTGTGCATCCCTTTTCTTAGCAATTCAGGAAGCTCAGTATAGTCCCCAGTCTCTGTCTTTCCAGCTTCTGTAAGTTTCCAACGTGTAAAACCAACATTAAACATTTTAACCAAGCGAGTTTAGGGCTGGCAGAACTCTGCAATCTCCAGTCCTGACGCTTGAACTCAGGACCTAGGCGCTGCCCTTGACCTTCTTTAAAAGCACAAGGCTAGCGCTCCACCACTTGAGCCACAGCACCACTTCTGGCTTTTTCTAAGTAGTTTATTGGAGATAAGAGTCTCACGGACTTTTCCTGTTTTGGAACCTTAGTACTCAGATCTCAGTCTCCTTAGTAGCTAAGATATAGTCACCCACACTCGCCGCACTTCGGGTTTTTGCTAGTTTATTGGAGATAAGAGTCTCATGGACTTTCCTGCCAAACGGATCTAATCCTTTGATCTCAGCCTCCTGAGTCACTAGGATTACAGATTGAACCACAGGCACCTAAGTAAAAATTTTCGTATTTTATCTGTATTGGCCTTTGTGAATGATAACCATAACACTGAGGTATAAAGGGGATATCAACTAAAACAGTGAAATAATGAAGCGATACATAAAAAATAAAATTACCTGTTTGGCAATTGAGGTAAGAACACATTTTCATGTCAGTACCTGCATGGTTTTGTTGTACCCTAATGTTTGTGGTTTTGTTTTTTTTTTAATTTCCCTGGTCTCTTATTCATATACATCCTGGTTGTTTCCAAGTTTTATCCTAAAAAGCCTAGTGTGAAAAATTCTGGCTGGGGCTGGGAAGGTGGCTCAGTGGTACAGCACTTGCCTTGCAAGCCTGAGGCCCTGGGTTCGATTCCTCAGCACCATATAAGCAAAAAGAAAAAAGCCGGAAGTGGTGCTGTGGCTCAAGTGGTAGAGGGCTAGCCTTGAGCTGAAGAGCTGAGGGACAGTGCCCAGGCCCAGAGTTCAGGCCCCATAACCGGACCCCCCCCCCAAAAAAAAATAAAAATAAATAAAAATCCTTCTGGCATCAAAGGATGTTTCAGGGAGATTAAAAAACAAACAAACAGATTATTGCATCTTAAATATGCCTTGATTTCAGGAAAGCTGAAACTGAAAGCAGTTAGCTGCCCTGGTTTTGTGTAGATGCATTTCTTAAAGTCTATTGGTCCTTTTCTATAGAGAGACTGTATCAGAGAAAAATTTGAGTGCTGTGTTAAATAATGGGAAATGTATTGACCTCGTTACCACTGAGTGGTGCTGACCTTAAGGTTATGTTGCCTTATTTTGGCTTGGCAGGAGTGAAGAAAGAGGTTTCTCAAACATACGTATAGGAAGAGGAACTGGGAACTTCGTAATTTGTCTACATTCCATCATCTTGAATACCCAACCATGACAGAAATGCATGTTCTTTTTAAAAATTCATTTATTATAAAATATATATATAACGCATAAATATACTTTTGTGATGCACACTGTGATTCTAGAACTTGGAGAGCTGAGACAAGAGGATCATGAGTTTGAGTACAACCTGGACTACCATAGTGAGACACTATTTCAAAAGGGAAATAAAAAGACAAAAGCAAAAATACTTCTGCATTGTAGCTCCTACTAGATGATCCCAAACTTTACAATAGCTCCTATTTTTTTCCCCTCCATTGTGAGGCTTGAACTTGGGGTTTGGGTGCTATCCTTGAGCTCTTTCCCTTAAGGATAGTGCTCTACCACTTTGAGCCACAGAGCCAATTCCAAAAAATTCTTTTTTTTGGTCAGTCATTGGCTTGAACTCTGCCTGGATTCTGTCCCTGAGCTTCCCCCCCCCCCCTTAAGGCCCACCCTCTACCACTTTGATCCACAGTGCCTACAATATCTTCTTAATTTCTTTTTTATTTATTTTGTATATGCTAGGCAGGTGCTCTCCCACCAAGCTGCCTTCTTAATCCAATAGTGGATTGCTCATTAAATAAACCGTGATAACAAAACCATATCCCTCTGAGCATAGATGAGGTCCAAATGCAATTGCTTTCTAGATTTGGGGTTATATTTTTGTCACATTATCTTAAAATCAAACATGACTGTATAAATGAAAGGACCAAAAAAATATGTCACTAGGAGATGAAGGCTTCCAGAAAAAGGTAAGTGGAACAGAAAGGTTTCTTTGTGTGATGGTGTGACGAGGAGTCCTTAGCCAGGCCATCCGACAACTTAATGGCAAGCAGAACCCGGGGGAAAGAGGAGTACTTGCTCTGAGTTTCTGCTCTTTAGCTCCCTACGGCCAAGCCTGCCCAGCCATGGTTAAAAGGGTTGGTCAAAGTGAGCCTGCCGCGAGGGAAGAGCAAGGCCTCTGCTGATGCAGGCCTCTGGGCTCCCAGGGGAATGAGAACTACAACAGCTATGCTCAAGGCAGCCAATCCAAGTGCGGATAGAAGGCGCCAGGGCATTCTGTCCTCAGGTTGAGAAACTACTAGAGCTATACTACTTCATGTCAGCCTGGCTATCCTCTCCTCCTGGGGCACAGTTGGGTTCTCTTTAGAACTCGTGTGTTAGATCTTTCTTGTATCCTGTATTATTGTTTAGTGATATATTCTCCAGTGGAACTCTTAACTCTCACTCTAGCATTTTTACAAGAAGAGCTACAGTTTTGTTGTGTTTTTTCTTTTAAGCCTTTCCTTGTCTGAATATGTTTCCTCATGCTTGATTGATATTTTGGCTAGTAATTTAATTACAATGGAAGTAATTTTCTTTCAGCGTTTTGAAGTTACTGCTCCATTCTTACCTGCTTTCAGTGTTACTGTTCAGAAGTCAAAGTCATTATGGTTTCTTAATCTTTTGTATGTGACCCTTTTCTTTCTCCTCTCTATAAATTTATAGAACCTACATTTGGTGTCAGTCTTTTAAACTATAAAATAATGTTTGGATCCAAGGGATTCAGTATTCAATGGACCCTTTAAGTCTTAGAAATAGAAAATAGGGGGAAATTCACTGAATCATCTGCATTTTGAATAACTAAAATTTGTTTTTTTTGTTGTTTTTGTTTTTTTGGGTGGGGTCCTATCATGGGGCCTGAACTCTGGCCCTGGGCACTGTCCCTCAGCTCTTCAGCTCAAGGTTAGCGCTCTACCACTTGAGCCACAGTGCCACTTCCGGCTTTTTTTCCTGCTTATGTGGTACTGAGGAATCGAACCCAGGGCCTCATGCATGCAAGGCAAGCGCTCTACCACTCAGCCACCTTCCCAGCCCATAATGTAAATTTGTTACCAAGGATCTTACTGGGTAGTAAGATGAGGCTCTTTTTTTTGTTGTTGTTGGTCATAGAGCTTGAACTCTGGGCCTGGGCACTGTCCCTCAGCTCTTCAGCTCAAGGTTAGCACTCTACCACTCGAGTCACAGTGCCACTTCCAGTTTTCTGAGTGGTTTATTGGAGATAATAGTCTCACAGACTTTCCTGCCTGGGCTGGCTTTGAACTGCAATCCTCAGTTCTGAGTCTTCTGAGCAGCTAGGATTACAGGCATGAGCCACCGGCACCTTGCTGAGTCTCTTTTAAAACCCATGCTTTTCACCTTTTTTTTTTTTGGGTCCAGTCGTGGGGCCTGAACTCTGGGCCTGGTCGCTGTCCCTCAGCTCTTTAGCTCAAGGCTAGCGCTCTACCACTTGAGCCACAATACCACCTTCTGGCTTTTTTCTTTTTGCTTATGTGGTGTTGAGGAATCGAACCCAGGGCATCAGGCATTCAAGGCAAGCACTCTACCACTGAGCCACCTTCTCAGCCCCTGCTTTTCACCTTTTATTTGGCTTTATATTTATTTTATCTGAGTTAGAGATGCTTAGCAAGTTTTGTTCCTTTGTTTTATGTGACTTACAAGTCAGAAGGCAAGTGAGCATTCCAAGATTAAATATGTAAAATGCTTTTCCCTAAGTATGTAAGATCTCTGAATAATTCATGCTGTTTGATTTTAAGGCCTATAAAATATAGTGCCTAGAAACCAATTTATGGCTAACTCAAGAA